GCCCTCCCTCCAGCCCCTGCTCGCTGGATCCCCAAAGCCCCCAGCAGTGCTGCAGCGTGGGGCTGAGCACAGGGAGCCGTGCCCAGCACTGACCCCCACCCCTAATCAGGGATCAAACCCCAGCTTCAGCCTAGGGGCACTGGCCCAGCACTGCAGCCCTGTGGGACACTGCTGGCCCCTGGGCTTGGTCCTTCCCTGAGTTGCAGGGAGTCCAGAACTTGACAGGAATTAGCTTGTTTTCAGCTTGCTTTTAGGAAAGAAAAAAACCAAAACCACTGACAAAAAGGAAAAAAGGAAGCCTAATTTTCCACAGGCTTTTTGGCTGCATGGGCAGGGCTGAGTGCCCAGGGCTGTGGGCACAGAAGCGTGGCAGTCTCTGCCCCTGAACTGCCCATCTGGGGCCCAGGGCTAATCCTGCCACTCCTGGCACTGCTGGTGACACAGGCACCCACGGGAGCCCCAGACTCACTCTGTCCTTGATGCTGTTTGGGTTTATTTCAGAGCCTGGCCAGCAGGGCCCCATGCCTGAGCAGTTCCCGATGCGCTTGGAGCCTCTTGAGCAGGTAATTGTAATTCCTCAGCAAGCCAGCTTGGCTTATTTTGGCCCCAGCGTAGTTTAGCATCCTGAGGCCCAGCTGGGTAATTTATAGCTCTGTCAGAAAAAGGATAAAATCAGCACAGGGTTTCTGGGCACTGTGCAAATCTATGGCCCTGTGTGCTGGGGCCAGGAGTGCCCTTGGTGGGATGCTCAGGGACCCCACTGGGGTGTGTGGGTAGTGCTGGGACCAGGCTTGGTAGGAGAGGGATTTTATGGCTTGTGATGCAGTAAGTGGCCCCTTGGTTCAGTCTGGCTGGCTGAATCCCTTTTGTGCACTGCATCAGCCCTGGGCATCCACATCCTGGGGGCAGTTTTCTAGAAAAGGTTTCTCCCTGCTCCTTTCCCCTGGCTATGGGCAGAGCAGCATCCCCACATCCCCTGCTCCTGAGGGCCAGGGATGCAGGTATCCACACTGAGCAGTGTGGGCTGTGGGCCCCTGGCCCCCCTGGAGGCTGTGCCTGGGGCGTTGGGCAGGGACAGCCCCAGGAAAAGGGCTCGGAGCAGGGGAGACAGGCTGCTCTCAGTGGGTGTCTGCTGCTCATCCTGGTGCAGATTCCCTGGTGATGCTGGCCTACACTCTGTGCTCCTCCACAGGGCACGGACAGGGAGCTGGCAGAATTGCCACACTCCTGTCAGGGAGGGCACCAAGTCACAGCACAGCAGAGGGACCTGCCCTGGGGCTGTCCTTGCTGAGGCAAACACCTCTGGTACAGAACAGCCCCACTTTTACAGCCCCCTGGCCTGCTCCCCCTTCACCCACGCCTTGCACTCAGAGGTTGCAAAACCCCTGCTTTAATCAGTTTTTCTGGTTTTCCTGCAGGTGTTGTTACAAGTTGCCCTACAAGCGAGCCAGCCCAGCTGCCACCTCAGTGCCAAGAGCGGTGCCACCAGCTGGGTGTGGCTGAGTGAGCAGGGAAGGGACATTGCCCACCCTCCACGTGTCCCACAGCTGCCCTCCCCTTTCTGAAAAACACTCAACCAACCCATGGGGAAACCTGCTGTGTGATGTGGGGCAGAATGCAGCGCAGTGGCTGTTTAGAAAGCAGCCAAAGCCTTTGACTGGGACAGAAGATGAACCCCGGCGGTGGCCAGGGTGTGCCGGGCACACGGGCAGTCAGTGTGGTCTCTGGGCTGGGGCTGGGCTGGCTTCACTAGATGGCAGCAGCTTCTTCCAAAACAGCCCAGGCGGGGAGGGAGACACCCAAAACGGGCCGAGTGCTCCTCTGGGATGTTGTGTCATGGTGGGAAAGCCAGGGTTTCATTTTCTTCTTGATGTGTTTAAAGGTAATGCTCTCCTCTGGGACCTGAAGTGGCTGCTTGATGTGGTGGGGCTGCTGGCAGCGCCGGCTGCACCCTGGAGAGTGGGAGCAGGAGATCCCCATCACCTTCAAGCCTCACCATCACCTGGAGATGCTAGTGCCACACATTTCTCTTCACAGAGAAAAGCAAGGCACCATTCTTCCCAAGGATTTCTGAGATTCACATTCCCTGAACCTCAGAGAAAGAGAAAACACAATGCTTATCACTTGCTGTGCCTGTGTTGTGCCAAGGCAGAATGCAATATGGAGATTGTTTACCCAAAGTGGATGTTTTGTTTCCTTGGCCTATCAGGGCCAAGACAGTGTGTGTGTGTGTGTGAGACTGTCTGCTGACAGTCACGGGAGAGTCAGGAGATTGAGTGCAGGTCTGTGCAGTTGTGTGCAGAGTGAGAGCATGGCAGATTCAGTCCAGATGCAATGTATGTAATATAGTATAATAAAGTAATTAATTAGCCTTCTGATAAGATGGAGTCAGATCATCATTCTCCCCACTTCGTCTGGGGCGCCCTAGCTTCGATACCACACCACATCTTACACATGGATTATCCCGTGCATCCCTAAAGCATTCGATGCTTTTCCTAAATCCCAGCTCTTGGAGCCATATAAAGTTTTTTCACGCCCGATTTTATACCCACCCGTGTTTCTGGCTGCCTGGAGGACAGGCAGAAGCTCCAGGCAGAGCTCAGGAGCGCAGTACAGAGCTGTCAGACGTGTTTCCTTCCCGACACACGCTGGGATATTGTGGGATCCGGCAGAGACAGGCGCTGCCGACTCCCGAGCGAGAACATGCAACTGGCTGGCTGGCTCCTGTCCGAGACATTTGTGTTAATCAGCGATTATGCAAATAAACAGCGCTGCCACGCTCCCGGCGTGGAGCATATGTTCCTATGGCAGGCAAGTGTCCCCTCCAGGAGCGCAAAGCTCCTCATTCCCAGGGTGGGACCTGCTGTGAAAAGCAGATTAAAGGCAGCCTGTGGGGGAAGGCAGGAGCCCCGGGAGGCCCCCAGCCCGCCGCTGCCACCTCTCCCCTTTCCCCATGTGGCTTGAATTACTGCGGCTGTTTGCTTAATCCATCAGGCTTCAAGAATGAGCCACTCAGTGCTTTGGCCTCTCCATCCAGCAAAGTGCTGTAAACATAACAAGGCAGGCTTGTTCCAAGCCCCTGAAGTCAAGAAGTGCTCCTCTTGCCCTTTGGTGCTAAATATAACCCAGGGTGCTTTCCATTCATAAAATGTGAATTATGTCCTGGCCTCTGAGGGAGGAGAGCGGGTTGAGGAGCTGAGGGCTCTGGGCACTCCTGATGCAGGCAGCAACCAAAAGGCTTCAGCCCATCCTTTCACAGCCCTGCAGCTCCTCGCTGAGTAGATGGGGGAGGAAATGCTTTTGGGGGAAATGTGGGGCATCCTCTGTTTGGGTTGATTAAAGTATTTTCTTGCATCTCACCCTCAGGTGCGTTAGGGCTGGGGTGGATTTGCTGGGGAGGTGAGTTGCTGGGCACGGTAAGTGTGGGCTGATGGGGTGGCCCAGCAGCAGCAGCACAGGGGAAGCCCCCACTGCCCCCACACCTGTGTAAGATATTCCAGCATTTTCCAGAAATGGAAGCAGTAGAGTCTTGTACCACTGCTCCCAACACCTAATGAGTTCATTAGGACTTTGCCACCTGCTGGAGGAACTTGCTTTTGGATCCCTTGTGGATCTCCATGTGATCACCCTTCTTCTGTCCTCCAACCTTTTCTTCCAGCAGCCCTTGGCTGTTGGCACGTGCTGTGACATTCTCCCAGTTTTTCCACAGCAGCTCCAGATGCAGAGATGTGTCTGCCTACAGCTTTTTGCCCTCAGTGAGGTTCCTGTTTTGGGGAAGAAGGAACATCATCTCCTCGTGGAGTTTAGGGAGGTGCTGTTCCCTGGTAGGATGCTGGGGACCCAAGCTCTTGTGTTCCCAGGGACAGGGACAAGCTGCAGAGGGAGGAGACCAAGACTCCAGGCATGCCTGAGCATCTCCCTGCCGGGTGGTGTGAGGCTGTCAGTCCTCTGCAGCCCCAAACTCAGCACCTGGAGCCACAGTGAGGCATGGGGTGCACACAACAAGGCTGAGGATGGACTGCATGCAGGGCAGTGCTGCATTTGAAACATTCCAGATCACAGAAAACACGGAGGCAAGCCGGGTGCTGCCCATGTGTGCATCCTGGGGTGCTGCAGGCCATGGGGGGCTGTGCTTCCCCTGCTCTCCTGCCCACTGCCCCGAGGTCAGAGTGGGTTGATTACCACTGCAGTCTGGCTGCTGGGTTGTTTCAAACCCCAGCTCAGGACTGCCAAACCAGAAGGTTTCCAGGTACACCATGGGCCTTTGGATGCCACGGAGATCTAAATAAAGCCTTTAACGCCCACTCTGCAAAATGCTCGTGTCCAGCTCCAGGAAAGCTGGCTGCTTTTTATGGCATCTAAATCAGCAGTTTGCTGCTGATGCCAGCAGTGTGTCTAATTGTGTAAAACAACAGAGCTTGGCAGAGCCACGCCAGCTAGGGAGGAGCTGGGTTTCACACTGAAGTTTTTTCTCTCTTTTTCCCTTTTCCTTCTTAAATAACCCCATTTGGGCCTCCAATAAAAACCAAAACATCTGGTGCTGGGTATTTGGCTGCTGGGAAGCAGCTCCTGCTGAGCTGAAAAGCAAAGCAGCGATGCAGGGATTCCTGGTATGGATCAGTAACACTTAAGGTGGCATTTGGGCATTATCCCTGTCCCTCCTGGACTTTGAATATATGGCCTGAGGACACTGAGGGAACTGTGGTGCTCTATGCCAGCATGCAGCTAAATCATGCAAGTCAGTAAAAAGGCAATTGAATCAGTGGAGAGTCCTTCAAGCCTGATTTATTGATGCTCTCATGTGAGATCTCAGCAGTGTGAGATGCTGCTGTGAGAAAGAGATAAATCAGTAAACCACTGGTAAACCACTGATGTTCAGTGAGTGGGAAGGACCCTTTGGCAGGGCCACCCCAAGCCCTGGATGAGCCCCCCAGCATGGCTCAGGGCTGCTCCTCTTCCCTAGACCAGCAGTGAGGCCAAGCCTGTGCCTGCCCAGCTTGCTAGGTCTGCATGAAGAGGTGGAAGTTGGTCCTGGTAAACTCCTGGTGGATGCTGTCGAGTAATTTGTCTGAGTCCTGGGGAACATCTGAAAGGACCTGCTGCCCTGGGATGCAGCTCTGCTCTGGGGTGTAGGTAAATGTGAAGGAGCTGGAGTAGATGAGGCCATCGTCCCTGATCAGCAGGAGTGGGACCGTGATGGGATAGCGCAGCCACCTCCAGTCGCTGCCGAAGGCAGAGACATCAGGGACAACACATACGAGGGACTTGGGGCTCCTGGCAACAGTGCATGAGAGGAAAATGTGCATTAACTGGGGAAGATCCTCTGCAGGAGCAGCCAGCAGTGAGTGACTGCACTTCTCCATCCTGGAGCTCAGTGTGAGGCCTCCAGCCAGTTCCCTCTCTCCTCCCAGTCTTTCATTCCTCTCTGCCAGGGTTGTTTGGTTGTTTGCAGTTCCCTGAAATCCCTGTTGTCCCCCGCCCATGGCTATGCCCAGACTGCAGCCAGGGCAGAGAGCAGACACCAGACTCATTCCTGCCTTTGCTTGCAGTGCTCGTGCTTGCTCCTGCAGGATGGGCAGTGCAAGTGTTCCCAAGGTCTGCAGCCACATCCTTCCCAGATCTGCCCAGCACAGCCCACATCTGCCTGCTGTTCCCTGCCTTCTGCCCAGCTCCCCTATCCATGTTACCTGTACATCGTCTCTGCTTCCACATCTCCGAACCAGACCTTGAGGTGTGCATGGAAATACTCCCCCTGCACCTCCAGCATGGCCACGTCCCCACCGCCTGTGAGCTGTGACGGGCAGAGAGCGTGGCTGGGCTGTGTGGGTTATGAAGCCACACTCCTCCCACAGGATGCTCTGCATCTCATTCCCACTTGAGAATGGGAGGTGCCACGGGGGGCAAGGGCTCAGGGGCAGGAGGCACGAGGCAGGGAGGTGGCAGAGGGGGACAGCCCGAGGCTGTGCCTACCTGCAGGGCAGCGATGAGCGGCACGGGGCTGACGGGCTCGCGGACGCACGCCAGGCTCTCGCTGAAGGTGTACTCCACCGTCTCCGTGCTGATGATGGTCCAGCACGAGCCGTCGTTCAGCAGCTCCCTGTTGGCTTCCTTGGGGCAGGGAGATGCCTGTGGAGAGTGTCAGAGCTCCAAACACGCTGCAGGGGAGGTGGTGGGGAATGGGCTGGGATGGCTGGCTTCTGCTCTCAGTGTCCTGGTTCCAGCAAGTGACTGCTTTGCTTGTGGGGAAATGGGGATCATGAGTCCTTTCCAAAGACCTCAGTTACAGTGTCCCCACTAAAGCTTTGCCTTAGTTTAAATGCAAATTATTGCCTTAGTTTGGATGCAAGACCCCTCCCAGCGACACACTCCCCAGCCTGACACAACACAGGAGCTTGCAGAGATGGCAGCAAGCTCCCTGGGCTCCTCAGCTGCCCCTGCACTGCCATACCTGGAACTGGATCACCTTGTCTGTGGAGAGACACAGGTACATGCGGTCACTGCCTTGCAGCTGGAAGGCGCACTTGTGGAGCTGGGAGATGGGCTCATCCACGTCCAGCATGGCGTACTGCTTCATCACCTTCCGGATGATCTGCGGGCGGCAGCATCCCCAGCATGGATCCCAGCACGGATCCCAGCACAGATCCCCATCATGGATCCTCGGCATGGATCCCAGCACGGATCCCCAGCATGTATCCCCAGCATGGATCCCAGCACGGATCCCCAGCACGGATCTCCAGCATGGATCCCCAGCATGGATCCCCGGCACAGATCCCCAGCACAGATCCCAGCACGGATCCCCGGCACGGATCCCCGGCGCGGATGCCGGCACGGCCCCGCCGCTCGGAGCCGCGGTGCGGCCGGGTCTGTGCGCTGACAGCCGCAGGGTCGGAGCTTACCAGGGGCGGCAGGGTGACGCCGGTGGCCGTGCAGACCAGCTGGACCACGGAGCCGTAGCGGATGTACCCTTCCCGCAGGGGGAACTCGCTGCGGGCGCAGCGCTCCTCGGCTGCCCGGGGGGAGAGAGGCAGGGTCACCGCCCGGACAGCGGGTTAACCTCGCCAGGCACAGCTCTGGCCCTGCTCCCGCTGCTGCCTCACTGCTTGGAGAGAGCATCATTACCTGGGAACCCCGCCCGGGACTGCAGGATGGGCATGCAGTACCTTGCAGGGCAGGAATACTGTTGGGCTCTGGCCTCTTCCAGGCAATCCCTTGCTTGGATTTGTAGACATCCAGACCAGCACAGCCCTGGTCACAGCCCCTGTGCCCTCAAAGCCAGTGGGAAACATCCAGAGACACACCAGGAATGCCGGGCAGAGGCGAGACTGAGCCAGATTCCTGCACCCCCAGGCTAATTCCCATGCCTTTTGCCCCCAAGAGCTGGCTTAGCAGGACGGGAGAGCCAGGACTGGAGGCAGGCAGCCCTGGGCATGGTGGCATCAGTGTCCCCCGAGGGTCCTTACCCAGGTGGAGGGTGAAGGCTGCCCACTGCCTGGCGCTGGCGATGAAGGCTCCCCCCTCCACAGACAGGTAGCGGGTGCTGACGGTCTGGGAGCGCAGGCGGTTGAAGAGGGACACTTTGGAGCCTGAGGAGATGCAGACTGCAGGGAGAGGTGGCTGGGTTAGTGCTTGCAGGACTGAATGATGGCTCTGTCAAGGCCAGCGAGGACAAGCCCTGGCTCCTGGGGTAGCCAGCAGCCAACACCCTCCCACTGCCTTCCCCTCTGTGTGAGTGGGGAGAGGCCCATGGTGTGGGGACCACAATGGCATCAGGGCATTACACCCCGTGTTGGGTGAACCATTTGGAAATGAGACATCACTGTGTCAGATACCTCCTCTGTTGGGAGTTCCCACGGGCTTTGGGTCCAGCCTGGACCACTCCAGAGCCAAGCTGTGAGCAGAGAGCATCCCATGCTGGGCTGGCACCCACCTCCCTCCCCAGAGAGCCACTCACGGTCCGTGTTCTTCAGGGACTGCTTCTTCTGCGAGGGCTTGGAGATGACCTTGATGAGTTTGCTGTGGAAGGTGCCGATCTCCTGCCCGTTGCTGAAGAAGAGCTTCAGGACCAGGCAGAAGTGCTTGCGCTTGTCCGTGTCCGAGATGTACAGCGCCTTGGCACAGCTGAACCCCTGCCAGGGGCACAGAGGGGCTGCCAGCAGCTCCAGCCCAGCCCCACCAGCCCTCCTCACCCTCCTCACCACCCCACAAGGACATAATAGCGCCCTTTCAACGAGCCCTGGGTTCATTTAAAGGGAGAAATGAGCAGAGATGTTATTACAGGTGGAATGAAGAGCTGGGGATCAGCAGAGGCTTTATTTACACTGGGGGCAGAGTATTCCTCATGGAAATGAATGTTCATGTGTGATTTATCCCACATAACATGAGAAATCACCCTGGGTTTATGGTTTCCCTCATCCTGGCCAATATGCTGTGCTTTAGCAGCAAGGCAAGCACTGTGGACAAAGGCTCTTTCTGTGAGGTTCCTGGCCTGCCTCAGACCCCGTGCTCTTCAGGGACCCCAAATAATGCTTTTTCTCCTTTTTTTCCCCTCCAATCAAAAGATGCCAGAGCTCTGCTGAAGGATTTGAACTTTGGGATCAACTGGGGCATTTTTTTAAGCTGTTTATCTACAAATGAAGGACCAGGCTTTCATTTTGTGACAAGCAGCAGTGCTGCTCATCAGAAGGAACCAGGGAAGAGGAAGCTGTGCAGATTTTGGCAGCCACAGGGCTGTAGACCTGAAAAGATGGTTCCAGAGAAAGACAGGGATCTTTAGGCTGCCTGGACTGCTGCACATGCCACAACAGGCTGGCAGAGTGAGATGGGGAGAAAGGAAGGCTAGGAAGAAAGAGCTGTGACATCCTGAGGATGGGGAGGGTGTGACATCCCAGGGTGTGGGGTGCTGCTGGTGACAGCCCAGCCCCTGCAGAGTGGGATCCCCACAGCCCCAGGGAGCTTTACCTTTGCATCTGGCTGCTCCTCAAAGCTCAGCTTCTGGGTCTCCATCAGGCTGCTGCCCATGCTGTCCAGCCCCATGTACCCACACACCCGAAATCCAGCCTCTCCCAGGTCCCTGGCTAGAAGAGACAAGGACAAGCACCTTCCAGCCTCTGCACAGGCTCAGCTTCTCCAGGAGCAGAGCGTGACCAAGCCCCAGCCCTCTCAGGATCTGGATTTCAGGGGGCTCAGGCTTGAGCAGGAAAGGAGTTTGGGGGGCCAAAACCAACATAAACAGACTCACTGTCCCTTTTGCAGAGGCAGGGGGCAGCTCTCCATGGTGCAGGAAGGGAGGGAGGAGAGGTTCAGGGCTGCTGCCCAGTGCTCACCTTTTATCTGCTCCTGCTTTATTTTCCATCCCGGCCCGCTCAGGTAAACACAGGGTGGGGGGCAGAAAAATCTGCAGAGACAAGAGAGCATTTTCTCACTGCACTTCAGCACCTGAAAAGGTGCTCAGGAGTGGCTGCATGGCTGTGCTGACAGCAGAGACTTTCACTGGGGATCACCAGCACTGGGGGCACCCCTGCACCCCAGGAGGCTCAGCCAGGGGCTGGGGACCCTCTGCCCTGCACCTCCTCCAGTGCCTGGTTCCAGCCTCAGCAGCTGCCACATCTGGTGGTGCCACTGTGGCCACGATCCCACCAGTGACAGGATGGCCCTGGGATGGGAGGACAGGGAGCCTGGCACCCCCACCCCCAGCTCCCCCAAAACAGGGAGCCATCAGAGCCTGCCCCTTCCTGACTGCCATGTGGGAGTTTCAGCAGGCTGGGAACAGAGTTTGCATTCACAATCAGTTCTGCAGCCCAGTGCAAATAAATCTATAGCCAGGAGTTTGGAAGCCCATTTTCCTGTGTTTTATTTGGGTTTCCACTGTCTTTGCACTTGTGTGAATGGTGTAAATTCATCCTCTATTGATACTGGGTAAAGCACTAGCAGAGAAAACACCAGTGCAGGGGGTTGGGTATTTGGAGCCCTGGAGGTACAAGTTTATTTAAACACCTCATCCACAGCACAGGCCCCTGACTCCCATTATTAAGGAAAATGGCAGCAGCACCTTCAAACTTTAACCTGGGAGCTCTGTGCAGGTTTTTCTCTCCCTTTTCAGACCTGGCATCTGGTTTTCACACTCATCCCTTGCACGGAGTCAGGAGCAGAGGAAAGAGGCTGTGATGAGAGGGCTCTCTCCTGGCTGGAAGACTCAGTCCTGAAATAACTTTTTTACCTGTGGACCAGCAGCCCCTGGCAGGAGACTGGATGTGGTGAGAACTTTGTAGACACAGCCAGCCCATCCCAGAGCTGTCCCCGGGGCTCGCTGGGGTCTGGGTGGTTCCACCTTGGAGGCTGAGCTCATCGCCTCACAGCTGTTCCACGCTCGGTAATAAGGGAGCAGTATTTATATCCCAAGGATTAATGGAGGATTAATTACATTGCAGTGCCGCAGTCTGACGTCACTGCCACGGAGTGGCAATTTTGGAGATTCAAGCCAGAACCTCAAGGTGTTCAGTGTGGGAAGGATTTTCAAAAATAGCAGATTTTTGGAGACCACTGGCATTGATGGAAACGGCCCAGTCCCTGCTGTGGCTGTGCAGATTTTAAGATGAGAGTTAGAGGGCAGTTAAAACTCTAGCCTTTCCTTCTTGGGGGTTGAGATTTTAACAGAATCTTGACTTCTTTTACTTTGTATTTCTTTACTGCTGCATGGAAAGAACCTACCCACTGGGGATGTCCAACTGGGATGGATGCAGGGTGGAGCTAATCCTTTCCTGTGTTGTTCAATTCATGGGACTAAACAATGGCTTTGGATGCAAAGATGTTATGTGTGAATGCAGAGGGGATAATTTGCTTCACCAGCTTAGATCTGTGAAATCCAGCAAGGCTGAAATCAAGCTTTAGGTAGCTGGGTTTAGAAGTGGCTATCAGGGAAGCTGGGGCTATCTCCTGTGGCAGCAGCTCTGTGGCCACAGAGAGAAACACAACTTTACCAGGCATCGTTCTGGGAAAGGCTGTGAGAAGATCAGAGAAAAGAATGAGAAACAATTCTTATCTTAACTCGCTGCACCTGGTATTGTGAACATGTGGAATGTGTTATGGAGATTGGTTTACCAAAGAGTGGTTTCTTAATTAGCCAGTGGTGATGGTGTTTTGATTGGAGGGCAAATTAGGTCAACCTGTAGCAAACTAGGGTATAAAAGCACGGGTTTCTTAATAAAAAATAATCAGCCTTGTGTGATAGATGGAGAGTATGTAACTTATTGCCTGGGCTGTTGTGCTGACAGTCTCCCACCTTTTCTCGTTGCCGTAGGACTTCTGTGCCACTTTGGCGTGCAGGATCAGCACGGTCTGGTCTGCTGGCAGCTGCAGGTACCTCCTCACACTGTCCTGGAGCACGCTGCCTTGGTACGGGCTGGGTCTACGAGACACAATTTCCCTGGCACTGTGGCACCAGAGCCAGCTCCTGCCCAGCCCTGCAGGGGGCAAGGAGCTCCCTCCATGCCCAGCCTGGTGGGGTGGGGAAGGGGGAAAGGCTTTCCCATCAGAAAGAACTGCAGCTCAGCTGCTCTGAGAATGGAGCTGGCATTGAAAAACAGAAAGTTCGGATAATGGAGTAACTGCTTCATCAGTTTGCCACTGAACATACACAGGGCATTTCTAAGACTTCCAGCCCCATGCAATGGTGGCTGTACTCTAACTGATTATTAATTTTTTGTTGTTGTTGTTGTTGCTGTATGGGTTTGGGTGAGCTGGGAGCTCTAACTGATTATTAATGTTTGGTTTTTTGTTGTTGCTGTATGGGTTTGGGTGAGCTGGGAAGCGATGCTGCAGAGCTGTGAGTGCAGCTGGGGAGCAACTCACTGGCTTCTACGAGGGATGCTGGGTGAAAATAGCTGCCTTTTTCTCTGAGACTAGGGAGTAGGTGGTTCTGCTGATTGTTTCTGCTCTATTAACTAGAAGGAGTTCCCAGGCACCTGGCATTTAACTCTGCTAACCCGGTAGGTTGGGTGTTAAGCAGCTGGAGAGAGATGAAGTGGGTCTGAGATGCTACCTGGGACACGTGTGCAAGGACCGGGGGGTGCAAGGGGGAGAGCTCTGGGATGTCAGCTGTGGAGGCCTTCTGTGGTGCACCACTCTCTGAACACCAGCTCCTGCCCTGCTGAAAGGCCCTAACTCTCTGAGTCTGGGACAGGAGCATTTCCTGGGTCTGGGATATTTGACTGGAGAAGATGAAACCAGAGGAGAAGGAAGAGGAGATGCCTGTGTAGTAGTCCTTCCTTGGCACATCTGTCAGTGTGGTCACTGGGAACATTGCTCCTACCGAGGGGACCCAGCCTGGTTAATGACTCTCATGTCAGGGAGAGAGGCAAAGCAGCAGCCAGAGAAGGCTCTGGAGCCCCAGCCACAGTGGAAAACACAGGGCAGAGTAACTGTGGGAGAGCATCTGGGGGCTGAGGGCAGCACTGGGGGATGACTTGGAGGAAAAGGGGTGACACTAGGGGCATCAGCCATGGCCACCCAAGGAGGAACTGCAAGAGATCTGCAGGGGAGCATTCCCTTTAAATACAGTCTCTCTTCCTCTCAAATGGGCTAGAAATGGAGAAAAGTTGAGAGCATAAATGATCAGGTGTGAGAAGAGAGGTAAGTCTGGTCCTGCCATCACAAGGCAGGCTCCGAGCTCCTCTGGGCTCAGAGGCCAGAGCAAGCTCCCAGGGAGAGAAACTGCAAACAGTCACCCCAAGCAACCTGCCAGAAGAGTTTGCCAGCTCTGTTCTTCACAGTGTAATACTTTAAAAAGGCTGTGCCCCTAACAGCTTTTAGCACCATGTTGCAATTCACTTTAAACACATTTCAGTTCCAGTTTTCCCACCTTTGGATGGAGCTGATGCTCTGCTGTTGTATGAGGACGAAAAACACATGTCCCATATAAACAAATACATAGCCAGTGTCTTCTCTGAGCAGTGCCATGGGGACCTGACACTGTGCACTGCACAGATGTGCTCTGTTAGGTTACCAGAGGGGCAATATAATCTCCTGCCCTCCGTGTTCCCAGTTCCTTATCCTAGGTGTGTTAGCTGGATCACTAGTAAACATAAATCACCAGAGCCCTGCCAGAATCAGATTTACAGCCAGGGCCAGTGTCAGTGTCACCCACAGCATTAACTGCTACTCTGTGCCTGGAAAATGAATGTTTTATGGCCATTCCTGACTGCAGAGCACAGGCTGCCACCAGGCTCTGCTCTTGTGGCAGCCCCAGAGCTGCTGCCAGCGCAGGGCTCTGGGCTTAGCCCTGGCTCAGCCCACAGCACTCATGGCAAAGCCGGAGCAGCTCCTTTGCCAGGGCTGTACCTGCTCCCTCCATCGAGGTGCTGGGAGACTCCTGCTCCAGCACTCCAGCACACTGGAGCAGAGCTTTAGCATCCAGTATCCCACCAGTGGCTGCTCCAGGGTGAGTCACTTAGCCTTGCTGGAGTTTCACTCCACTTTCTAGCCAATGAATAGTTTATATCTTTGCACAGCCAAAGAGATCCCATAAGAAAGTTATTTAATCTTTTTCCATAGTGGCAATCTGCAGCTGTTTCACTCCTCTGCTGCCAAGCAATGGTGTGATTTCAGCTTTGATCTGCCTTTGCTATTTTCCCCTTCATATAAAAGCACTATTTGTGAATCTCTCAGCAAAACTCTGGGTTGCTTTTTTTTTTTTTTTTTTTTTTTTTTCAGAACAAGAAATTATGATTGGGATAAATGTGGAAAGGTATCAAGGAAATTGGCCTGACCCTGGATGCCCTTTTACACTAATGCAGTGTTAAATTAACTAACACAGTGTAAAATGAGTACTGAACCTTGCTGGCTCCGTTCAGTAGCATTTCACCCTCAGTTTGTCAGAGACAACGGGCACACAGCAGGGAAGAACCAGGCTGGGTGTGTGAATTTTTTCCTGGTGAGTCTCATCGTTCAGTGTGCTGTGTAAAATTAGGAGTATAGCTCTGGGTCTTTGTGTCCCAGCTGCAGAGTCACATGCTCCATCCCCGTTAGTGTCACCAGTGCAGTCACCAGTGCCCATCCATCCAGCCTGGGGTCTCCCTGTGGGGCTCCTCTGCCATTAGCCCCTCGGCAAAGTGTGGAACAGCCTGGCACGGAGGCCAGGCAGTGGCAGGGAGTGTTCAGGAGCGAATTGCCAAAAGCTGTGGATTAAGACGTGTGCTGACAGCGTGGGCAGCAGCAATGCCTGCCCTGCAGAGCCTCCCACAGCAGGGCAGGGCAGGGCTTGTGCAGGTATCACTGCTCCCTGCCATCCCTACGTAATTCCAGAGGCACGTGGGTCACTGCCTGGAGCTTATTAAAGAACCTTCTGGAACAATTACTCACGTGCTACTTACTGCTTGGGGGGGGAATGTGCATGCCAAAGGCAGTAAACAGATGGGAGCTCTTCAGATTTGATGTCTAGATGGAGGAACAAATACCTAGAAGCTTGGCTTTCTTTTCTTTGTCCGTTCTCTGCAGCCTTTGCCTTCCAAATTTTGGGGCTAAATTGTGTCAGTGACGCACTCCTGAACAGTGCTTGCCATTCTGCCCACAGAGGCGACCACCCAGCATCCATCATCTGGTATAAATTTCTCTTCAGAGAGTCAAAGGGCTATTGCTGAAGCAGCTCAGTATGCCCACTTGGCTCCTTCTGGCACCTACAGAATCCTCAGGGTTACAGAGAATTATTCACTCCTTCTGACATTTATTATATTAAATTATTAAAATGCTTAGGTTGTAGTGCAGTGTTAGTTCAGTGTCATGTTAGCAGCACCACACGGGCTGGGCTCTCACAGCTCTCACTAAAAGCTGCCTTTTCAGAGCCTGAGGTCTTGGCTGGGGCTCAGCTGCTCTCCACACAGTTGGGCATTATGTAGAAAAGGGGGGGAGCAAGGGGGGATCCACCACCTTTCTCCTACACTGATTTCTGTAAGCCTTTCCCCTTCCCTGCTCAGCCTGGCACCACTTACCAAGGCTTTTCCTTTGCTTTAGGTCAGGATGTGCCTCAGGAGAGGGTGTGAGTGCATTTGTGGTGCATCTCCAGGGTGGCTCTGCCCTGCTGCTTGAGGTGGGAGAGACCCAGGGTACCCCGGGGGATTTGCAAGCCCTGGCTGGGTTGCTGTGCCCTGTCCCACGGGAAATGAAGCAGAAAAGGAGGAGTGCTCTGTGTGCTTTCCACAGGAGGCACACAGCTGGACCACCTTGCACAGGGCTGTTTCATGTGGGCACACAGGGAGCCCAGGCAGGCGCCGGGAGGCTTTGGTAGGGCTGGACCCCACAGTCCCATGGCTGATTTTAGGAGAACTGATGTTTAACACCACAGCTGAAAATTATCCCTCTCCCTCCCAGCAGCAAGTGTTTAGGGGCATCACTCAGTGCTTTGTCCTGCCTCCAGCTGGGGAGTGCTGCTCCCCGTGTGGGACATGCCCTGCTCCACACATCACCTTCTGTGTGCACACCCTTGGGCAACCGCAGCAGAAGAAAAAGCGCTTTACAGGCACTGGGAGAAGCAAACTGCCCTCTGCCCTGCTCCTTTTCAGTTCAATGGGCTCCACCAGCTCAGTCTGCTGAGGAAGGGATCTGATATATTTGGTCCCCCTGGGAATGAAAGTACCCAACTCTGGAGACCAAAATACAATCCCAGCAGCTATTGTTTAAAAACTGGGTCTTCAAACCACCTCTTTATACAAGAGCTTTATACTGTGAGCTATTACTCACAGTAATAGTGTCCCCAAGTGCAGGTAGCACTGAATTGAAGTGCAGAGACCTAATTTGCTGCTTTCCCCCCCCAAAAAGGAGCTGTGGTTTGCCTCGCTCAGGACACAGCTGCCCTGAGGCTTGCTGGGGACTTGCTGCCACAGAGGGCAACTGTTCTTCCCTCAGTTTGGGGAAACTAAACATCCTAATAAAAAAATATCCATTTTAGAGGTCTAGGTTATATTTTGTGCAGATCACGGGAGAAAACGCCTGCAGTGCTCTTGGGTATGGAGTCAAGGCAATGTTTATGCAAAAGGAAAAGCCATTAGAAATCACAGAAATGAGAAGCCTGCAGTTTCTGGCTTCCCTCATTTTTCAATACCTCCTTTAATCCAGACCAACCCAACCCACAGCCCTTGTATATGCAGGGGTATTTATAAATCCTGTATTTTCCTCACTGCACACACAAGTGAAATTCAGCCTTTTCTAGGCCTGGGGGATTTATCGACCACACCAAGGGCAAACAGCGGCCGAGAGCAGGAAGCACGGACAGCCTGTGGCACTGAGCTCTGCAGGGAGCAGGGGCCAGCCAGGGTGGGCACCCCAGCAGCACCAGCACCCCCAAAATGCCCAAGTTTGATAATACAGTACTGGCACGTCTGCTAGAAAATTCAGACAGTGGGGGTGATTTACTGGAGTCTCCTTTCTCTGCTCCTCATGTGCAAAGAAGGGAAATGCTGTTAAAGCACCAAAACACAGTTCTATAAAGAACTAAAGGTGGTTCCTGACACCACCAGCTTGATCTGAGAGGTGGGGGAATGGGAAGATCTATTCCAGGGTTTCCAAGAAGCCTGTGCTGATGATCTCCAATGCACATCAGTTGACTTTCTTGATGGAAGCTTAACTTGAGGCTCTACACCCCTCCAAGCTCTGCTCTGCAGTCTCCTGGCACAAACTCACCCCCTCACACTGCAGCCACTACCTGCTGGTGTTCCTAAACTTCCAGGACACTGTAGGTCAAATGGATATTAGGCTTAGACTCTCCTTTTTCCATGAACTTTTGAGTTTATGAGGCTCTCACATGTGTTCCCCCAGCAGGGGAAGAGACAACAAAAGGGTAAAAAAAAATTAAGAAAAAGAAAATAAAAATATAAAACAAAGACAAAAGCAAAAGGAGAAGAAATAGATAAAATAAAAGAAAAATTTTAAAAAATATAAAAAAGAACAATAAAATAGAGAAATAAAGGGGTAAAAAAGAAAAAAATAGAGAAAAATAAAGAAAAATGAAAATAAACCGCTAAAAGCAGCAGGCCCTCCAGGCCGGTGAGCCCGCGGCCGTCCCGGGCCGCGCACCCTTCGGTGCCGGTCCCACCTGCGCGCAGCTCCCGCGGGGCCGCGCTCGGCGGGGCCGGGCCAGGTGGGACCCCCCGAGTGCCCCCGCCGGCACCGGCGGCTGGA